GGAAAGAGTTTTTGGAGGAAAATTTTGGAGAAAATAAATTGTTCCCTTTATATTATTTATTTATAAACAGTTCTTAAATTATTAAAATCATATAGATAGGCTTTAAAGTATTAAAAATTATGTTATATAGTCCCTCAACTATTGAAAAATTCTTCAGCTTAGACCATCAATTCTAGTACAATATATTAAATAAGGGACTAAATTGATTATGATATTCAATACTGTAAGGATTAATTATATAATTTCATTAACTTAAAGATTATTTAGGAGAGTATTTTAAAGATTAAATTGATGGTTTATTCTTATATTTTCTTACAGATGAGGTTGCATCTTCTGAAGAGAAAATTAACCATCTGTCTCACATTTGATTGCTATTAGTTAGTTAATTATTTGCATTAAACATAAACCAATAATGATATATGAGCACTTTTATAATGCAAACATATATTTTTTTTTATTAATCATTGTAATTAGGTCCTTAATTTGGCTCTCCGGTAGAATCTCAGCATATCTTTATAAGCTTCGATTCTATGGGCTAGCTATGTATGTTACTAATCTTTGATTAGCCACAATTAAAGTTTTTCGCTGTCCTCAAAGAATATATTTTATAGGAGTTGAGTTGAACTTAGGTACTCTTCACAAAATTCAGGTTATATTATCAACTAAACCACACACCCATATTGAATTTGGATATTTCAAATACACCGTTAAACATATTATTTTTCTTTTCTATTTTTTTAAATGTATTATATCACATGTTACACTTATACTTTTCTGCCTCTTAGTAGGTGCTAATAAATAGAGTTATTTTCTTTCTCTTAATAGGTTTTAAATAGAATGAATCTATGCAACATTTTCCTTATACAGATAGAAAATCGGCTGAGTGCAGTACGTACAAGTTTTGCACGAAAAGGAAAATAATTAGTGGACATCCAATCTGAAGCCTTCATTTGGGGAGAAAAAGAAGGAACACATATTTATCAAAAAGTTTTTCCTACTTTGATATACAAGAAAACGAGGGAAGAAAAAAATTAGGACTCACTCAAAGTTCATTATTCTTATTCTGGAGAAAAAAAAAACCATGATGTGTATCACGACAAATTATCCTTATAATTTATGGTATATCCTTTTTTTTTTCTCTTCTTTCTCTTAGATGTATTATGAGAAATGTTAATTACAAAAGTGTTATTATATAAATATAATATATGTAAGTATAATTAAATTTATTTGAGATATAATTATATACAATTTTATTATTAATTTTGAATGAAATTTAATGACATATATTATGTGTCATTATAATCTATATTTATATTTTTTTAATAATATATTAATATATATTATATTTATAATATAAATAAAAGTAATTTTTTTATTGATAAATATTGTGTCATTGAGGGACGGAGCCAGAATTTCAATACTGGGGGGCCGAGAATAAATAATATATAATTTATAATAAATGAAAATTAAAATATATATGTATATAAAAAAAAATTAAAATTGTTGGGGGGGCCGTGGCACCCGTAGGTCCCCCCTTGGCTCCGTCCTTGGACTCATTGTAGGGTCAAGGATACCTACCAATTAATTTTCATTGAAACTTTTACTACATTAAAATTATCTCCCACAATTTTTTTTTATCAAATTGAGAGGTTTTTTTTTTTTTTACTCAAAATCTTAAAATTTAAAAATCAACTATATAATACTAATTGGGCTAACGAATGTTAATAAAGAAAAATTAATATAAGTATAATAGTAAAATGATGTTATACAAATAAAGATCTAGAAAAGAAATTATTGGTGGTGTTAATGAAATGTTTAAAGTTATTAGGTGCATGTGTGAATCACTATAATCGATATATTAATAGAGATAGTATGCGTGAGATAAAAATAAAAATAAAAAAAATACTAACCACTTATCTTGATTTTTATCCAATTTATTTAATTTATAGCTAATAAGAAATTTGTACTCGATTTCGTGTAAACCTCGTGATATATTCGTAAAATAAAAAGACCTCGTGACATATTTTTAAGGTTGATATATTTCACTAGCGTTGACATGCATTAAAGTGAAACTACTGATTTTGGCAGAATTATTCACGAACATTAAATTTAGACCTGCTTCTTAAAATTGAACTGGTTAATCTGTCTACCTGTCTGAGCCACATAAAATAGGCAAGATTTTAATGTCAAGCTACCAATAATTCAAAGTTTAGTTGTGTGTCTCAATCACACTCCTTTACATGGAGGACCCCACTACCAGAACAACTCATGCATATCTAGCTAGAGTTCGATTAACGTACCACTAGATTTTTACTTTCAGCCTACGCCCAGCCTCCATCTAATAAATGTGGTTAATTATATACACAAATATGCTTAATTATATTACATAAATACTTAAAAATAATTACATAATTATTGATATAGAATTAGTAGTATAGTATATTACGAGGGTATTATTTATCAAGATGTGTAATATTATAAAGTCAACTTTATCTTACACGTAGTTAAAGATATCATAAGTCATTAATTTCATATGTAAGTGTAGTTAATTTTATCTTATTATTGATTCAAAATAAAAAATAATTATATACAATTATTGAGTTGTGATTAATAAATAATAATATTATTAAAATATTTAATAGTAATTAACTAATAATAATATCACATTCTTTGAAATATCTAATATTAATTAATATTATTTTACGCATGATTAATATATATTAATTAGATATATAATTTTATGCAATTATGTTTATTATGATAATTACTTATGTTCCGATATGTTTAAAAATTTTACATCGTTTAAGAGTCGAGATTAAGGGTAGTTTATAAACACTTTCTCTCTTTAATCCAGGTATAAACTACTCTATCTCCTTAATCTATCGAGACACCTTTTAACGGTGACACTAACGATGATAGTAGACTTATGACCTAAACAACTTATAACTTATAAAATAAAATTAGAAAAATAGATTATTCTTGTCTTTCAATCAAAAATATCAGAAACTAGTTGATATAATTGTTAATTTTTATGATACTTATTACGTGCATGACCAGCCGGACGTACGTTCAACTTTTCCCCCATAGCTATCTATCTATCACAGAAAAAATATCTGCCCTCATAAATAACAAGTAACAGAAATTCCACGTCCAAATAATTCTTATAAGGTTTTCCCAAACACCATTCACAATTAAACACCGACATTGAACTGCATCTGCAACTGCAACACCATGAAGTTGTTTTCCTTTCATAAAGAGCTTCTCACTCCGTTTTTTCTTCTCACGTTCCTCTACCCTTCTTGCCACTCACTACTCCACACCATCACCGCAAACCACCCCATCAAAGACGGCGACGTTTTGCTCTCCAGCGACCGAGGAAACTTTGCACTCGGTTTCTTCAGCCCGCCAAACTCCACAAACCGATACGTTGGAATCTGGTACAACAAAATCTCCGAGCAAACGGTGGTGTGGGTCGCCAACAGAGACACTCCTCTCATCGACACTTCCGGTGTTCTCTCCATCAACACCCACGGAAACCTCGTACTCCACCACAACACCACCAACACCAAAACCAACACCCTTTGGTCCTCCAACGCTTCAATCGCATCCAGCAACGTTGCAGTTTCAGCCAAGCTTTTGGACACTGGAAATTTAGTTTTGATCCAAAACGACAACAACAGCATCGTCCTATGGCGGAGTTTCGATTACCCCAGCAACACCATGCTTCCTTTCATGAAACTCGGGGTGGACCGCAAAACCGGTCTGAACCGGTTTTTAATATCCTGGAAATCCGCGGATGACCCGGGAACCGGGAAGATGACATATAAAATCGACCCGACCGGGTTTCCACAACTGTTTCTTTACAAAGACAAGGTGCCGTTATGGCGGGTGGGGTCATGGACGGGTGAGAGATGGAGCGGGGTACCCGAGATGACTCCGAATTTCATTTTCAATATAAGCTTCGTGAACGACGAGGACGAGGTTTGGATAATGTACGGAGTTAAAGACCCGATGGTTTTCTCTAGAATGGTGCTGGAAGACACAGGTCACGTGAGGAGGACGACGTGGCAGGGTGAGGAGCGGAGGTGGTTTGAGATATGGAACGGGCCGAAGGAGGAGTGCGACAGCTTCAGACGGTGCGGGTCGAACTCGAACTGCGACCCGTACCAGGCGGAGAAGTTCGTGTGCGAGTGTTTCCCGGGGTTCGAGCCCAGGTCCGAGAGGGAGTGGTACCTGAGGGACGGGTCGGGTGGGTGCGTGCGGAAGAGGAACGTGTCCACGTGCGGGAGCGGGGAGGGCTTCGTGGGGGTGGCACGTGTGAAGGTGCCCGACACTTCGAAGGCGCGCGTGGCTCCGATGATGGGGATGCGTGAGTGCAGGGAGAGGTGCTTGAGGGATTGCACGTGTGCGGCTTACACGAGTGCGAATGAGAGCTCGGAGAGTGGGTGTCTTACTTGGCACGGTGACATGGAGGACACCAGGACATACACGCAAGTCGGACAAACATTGTACGTTCGTGTGGATGCGCTTGAATTAGGTACTCTACTCTCCTTATTTAATTCCAAAAATTTAACCATATCCACTTCCAGCTACATTTAGGGTCTGAGCTTCTTCTATCTTCACTGTTATTACTGTATACAAAAAAGTATTTGAATAATTGTTCATGTACAAGTCAACTCACACATCTATAACATTTAAGAGAAAAATTGTTTTCTCAACTTTTTAATCTGTTTCAATTTTTATTTCTAAATTTCACTTTAATATTTTAAAATTATATCATAATACAAATTATTTGTCAAAAATATTAAATACAATTTAATCTTTAAAAATATTTATTTATTTTTATAATTTTTAATTATGATTTATATTTCAAAAGAATATATTTATTATATATACATTTTAGTTATAAAATAATAAAAAAATATATATAATACTACAAGAGTGACTAAGTTGGTTAAGTAGTTTATTTGTTTTTATTAGGTAGAAACTTGGATGGAGTCCAATTTTCTTTATGTTTTATATTCTTCTATAAGAACTTTACTTGGAAAAGGGATAAATGGTCTATAATTTCACTGTAAATCTTTAAAGAAGTTGGTGATTGAGTCTAACTTTACCTTAATTTAAACTGTTCCTGTGTTAGGATACACACTTCACCTATCCTTGTTGTAGCGGGTCTAATCCTAGGTCTCGGTCTTCTCGTTCCTATCCAGGTAGTCCGATGTGAGGGAGGGTGTGCCTGCAAAGACACTCCAACGCTCAAGTAAGTGCTCGGCGTAATAAATGTGGTAGTTGAAAGTTGGTTACGTACCTCGTTGGGACTCTATTTATAGGACTTCTTATTGGGCCGTGATTAGGGATTGGGCCCCGGGAAATTAGGGGGCTAATCCAATGCATTACGTTAATTAAGCTCTTTGAAATCATCTTGGAGCCGGCACATGGTTTTGGCCGAGCATACCGACGTACTCCGTTCGATTCTCGGGTGATCGGTATGTTAGGGTATTCGGCCAAGTGTTTGAGGGTATTTGGCCCAAGTGTTCGAGGGGTCGGGTGTTCGGCCCAAGTGTTCGAGGGGTCGGGTGTTCGGCCCGAGTATTCTAGTGGTCGGGTATTCGGCCAGGTCGGCCCCCATACGGTATACAACCCCCGCAGCGTCGAGGATGTGAAAGACGAAGACGGTAAGAACTGTGTGACATCCTGGTCGTCGTCGGAGAGGCAGGGGCGGCCATGCAGTTACACCCTAACGCTTGGGCGGCCATGCAAGCGTTCCGTAATCTATGCTTATGCCTCGGCTTAACACCTCGACCTCTCGCCTTCCTCTATTATTACATTTGCAGGCTGAGCAAGCCGGTAAAATGGGTGTCGTTAGCTCGAGTGCCGAAGCGTGGATTTCTCCGAGCATTCACCTCCTCTTATAAGGGATTTAATAGTGGGTTCGTTGGGGTTCGGACCGGGAGGACAATCCGTTATTCCCCTTCTATTGGACGAGGCGGCCGACGCGCTTCGAGGCGATACCTTTTTCCAAGCTCCCCGCCGAGGATAAAGAAATTGTGGAGCTTCTTAATAATTTGCCGAAGGGCTTACCTGTCCGAGGCCTCTTGGACGTATTCGAAACGTCTCACTTCGAGATGGCCTTGCTAGGTATGTGTTTTAGGCTTCGGTAGTGTAGCAGTGTTTTGAATTGATGTTAAAACTTCTTTCGTTGCAGGATTGATGGCCGGAGGGGATCTCGACGTGACCGCCATGCTCGCCAAGCGAGCCAAAGATGCCAAGGCTAGTGGAAAGGTGCCATCGGCGAAGTCGGCATTGAGGATTACAAGGGATAAGCCCTCGCCTGTAATAATTTCGTTGGCCGACCAGAGAAAGAGGACAGGGACATCTCGGCCACGTCAGACCGACCAGAACGTGGAAACCGATCAGCCGGGCACCTCTTTGAAACGCCAAAAACAAATAACGCTGGAACAGTCCAGATGTGGGGGGAAACGCCAAAAACAAATAACGCTGGAACAGTCCGGATGTGGGGGGTTTGCTATCCCGGCCGTTGTTGCAGGGTCAAATTTTTTGGCCCCGGCCGTCCAGTCCGAGAACTTGGTTAGCCCGGATCTCGCTACCGGAGGGGGGCTCCAGTATTTGGAAGGTATGTCTATGGAGGCCAAGTACAAGCTCTTCTGCGAGCTCGACGTGCGGACTTCGCTGGTGGCCAAGCACGTGATGATAAGGTTGGCAGTCTCGACTGAGCGACTTCAGACCCGGTTAAAGGAGGCCGAGGCAATAGTGAAGGAGGCCTTGGCTGCGAATGCTAAAGCTACAGAGTCGGCCGACGAACTAAAGAAATCAGCCGATGGCTATAGGAGGGAGGCCGATGACTTGAAGCTGTCGGTGCAGAGGATGAAAGTTGAGGTCGCGGCTGCGGCGGCTGAGATTGCTCGGTTGACCGAGGCGCATTCCAAACTCAAAGCCGAGGCCACCGAAAAGATCCTCGAACAACATGATGCGGGGTTCCAGCAAGCAGTCCGGCAAGCCCAGTACTTCTGCGAGATCCCGGTTGACTTTAACTTTGACGTCAGTCGAGATTTTTACGGGGGTAAGTACATCAGTTATGCCGAGTTCCCAAAGGGAGCCAGCCCTGATGGCGAGGCTCCTCGCCGAGGCATCTCCACGCAGGGGCCGGTACCTCCGCCTTCGGAGGAAGATGATCCAATTATAGACGTGGTAGGTGATGGTAATCCGGAAGTCTCGACCGCGGTGTAGGAACCGATTCTGGTAGAGTAGGTTTGCTTGCTTTTTGTAACCGGGCCGTTAGTGCCTTTTTGTAACTTGGCCATCGGCGCCGGTAGATGTTTAATTTTTTGTAAGTAGCCGCTTTGGTCGGCAATACTTAATTGAATTTGCTTTTCAACTTTCCGTGTTTACGTGTTCAATGATATTAACATAAACCGAGCTGTATGTGTGGCCGAGAGGTCGGATTTTGTGATTTGTGACAGTGTTCGATGCACGTTGTTTGTTTATACTAGTTTGTTCGGTTTTCGTGAACGTTAGGTCACGAAGCTTCGGCTTGTGTTTATAAGAGGATTACTCAGGTTTTAATACGCGTTCTGTGTAGTGCTCGGCCTGGGGCGCAAGTGTGTTCTTCGTCGTCGACCGAACATTGGTCGGTGTCGTCGCCGTCGACATAGTGATCGGCCCAGGCACATCCTTAGCCGAGGAGTGTACTCGGGAGGGAAACCTGGGGCGCGAGTGCACATTTCAAACTTGACCGAGGATTGCTCGGGTTTTAGTACACGTCGTGCGTAGTACTCGGCCTGGGGCACGAGTGTGTTTTTCGTCGTCGACCGAAAGTTGGTCGGTGTCGTCGCCGTCGACATAGTGCTCGGCCCAGGCACATCCTTAGCCGAGGAGGGTACTCGGGAGGGAAACCTGGGGCGCGAGTGCACGTTTCAATCTTGACCGAGGATTACTCGGGTTTTAGTACGCGTTGTGCGTAGTGCTCGGCCTGGGGCACAAGTGTGTTTTTCGTCGTCGACCGAACGTTGGTCGGTGTCGTCGCCGTCGACATAGTGCTCGGCCCAGGCACATCCTTGGCCGAGGAGGGTACTCAGGAGGGAAACCTGGGGTGCGAGTGCACATTTCAAACTTGACCGAGGATTGCTCGGGTTTTAGTACGCGTTGTGCGTAGTGCTCGGCCTGGGGCGCGAGTGTGTTCTTCGTCGTCGACCGAACGTTGGTCGGTGTCACTGCTTCCATGCGTAGTGCTCGACCTGGGCATACAATAAAATTGCAAACGATATAATAAGATTTTGGAACTTTTATTAATGAAGTGCCTCGTTAAAAACCTTGCCGACCCAAAACCCTCCTTAGGGAAAAAAGAGTCGGCTAAGGAAAAGAGTGCACTGTTACATCAGCTGTAATACATTTTCAAATGAGAAGAATTCCAAGTTCTCGGAATTGGTTCTCCCGATAGGTGCTCCAGCTTGTACGCTCCGTTGTTCAGGTTGTGTCAGATTCGGAAGGGATCGTCCCAGTTTGGGGCGAGTTTCCCATGTCTCGGATCTTTCCTTGCCTCGCCTGTGGCTCTCCAAATGAGATCGCCTGCGCGAAATTCTCTAGGCTTTACCCTGCTGTCGAATCTTCTTTTGTAACGTTGTTTGGTGGCCTCGGCCACAACTTGTGCTTGGTCTCGAATTTCTTCCACGCTATCCAGGTTTGCCCGGAGCTCGGCTTCGTTGTTTGAGTCGTCGTAGTGGGCTCGGCAGAACGAAGGTTCTCCAATTTCCACTGGGATCATTGCATCGGATCCATAGACTAGGCGAAAAGGAGTTTCTTGTGTAGTCGACTGGGGGGGTGCATCGGTAGGCCCATAGCACTTCGGGTAACTGCTCGGCCCATGCCCCTTTTGCTTCTCCAAGGCGTTTCTTCAACTCTACCAAGATGACTTTATTGGCCGACTCGGCCTGACCATTCGTCTGCGGGTGTTCGACCGACGTGACCTTATGCTGTACGCCCAAGCCGTTCAGGAATTCATTTAGTTTTCGGTCGGTAAATTGAAGGCCGTTGTCGGTCACCAGAGTGTGCGGGACACCGAACCGGGTAATGATGTTCCTCCATAGAAATTTCTGGACTTGATGAGCCGAAATGCATGCCAAGGGCTCGGCTTCGATCCATTTGGTGAATAGGTCGACGGCGACGATGAGGAACTTGCATTGTCCCTTGGCAAGTGGGAATGGTCCGAGTATGTCGGCCCCCCACGTGGCGAACGGCCAGGCTGGAGGAATGCAATGTAGCTGCTCGGCCGGTTGATGAATCAAGTTGCCATGTCTCTGGCATGGCTGACATCTCTTTACGAACGCTGCACAGTCGGTGTTCATGGTCGGCCAATAGTACCCGGCACGTAGAAGTTTAGAGACGGTCGTCCTCGCCCCCGAATGCAGTCCGCATATACCCTCATGTACTTCTCGCGTCACATAGTCAGCCTCGGCGAGATTTAGGCACTTGAGTAGTGGGGTAGAGAAACCGCGTTTGTACAGCTGGCCGGCGATGACA